ATATGAAGCTCGTTTTTGCACCCATTTGGTGCCTTCCAGAACTATCATAAAAAAGTTTAATCAAGATCAGGTAAATACCCCTGTCAATCACTATTCGCCTGCGAAAACCGACGTCCAAAACCTATATTAATCCGGTCGGTGGCAATTATCCCAATAATAAAATCGTACCTCCGTTCTGTAAGCTGAATGTTTCAATGAAGGACATAATTGTCAAAAAAAATCTCTAAATGTAAGGATCCCAACCGTAACTCGTTAGGCATCACGGACCTCTGCCGTCTAAGATCAAGCCCCACAAAAGCCCCGAAGCAGCGGTGGGTTTTCACATACTACTAACTTCGAAAGTAAAGCAAGTAATGGCATTAACTGCACATATTCTCGCGTTGCCTTCCGGGCAAGGAATTCATAAATTGAAGCTACCAGACGAGGAAGTTCTACACTGATGTCAAACCAAAAGACTGAACGAAAAAAAAAAACTAAAGAGCACGTTGCTGGAAAAGGTTAGGGAGCACCCTGACCGGAGCACCCGGGCAGAAAAAGTGTAAGCACATGGCGTTAGTAAGTTGAAGCTTTTGATCTATAATATCGTAGCTGCTATGAAAATTAGATATATACTGTGAGAACCAAATCATATAACGAGCGACCCTCCATTGGTAAGACACCATCTACGCCTTTGTTCCGCCATGGCTCGGTTCTGCATCTGTTCACTTGATTGAGACTGCATTATCACCAACCGAAGTCAAGGACCAGCACCAGTATCATCTTCCTGCGCCACCCGAAGAGGTGTACGATTCTGAAGAAGTCGCTGAGGCGGCGATTCATGCTTGGTCTAAAGCCCATCAATACAATGTGTCACGGAAAAAGCTGGCTCTAAACGAAGAAGGAAAAGTGCGATATCGCTTGTACGAATCTGATCGGGCTGGTAAGCCGGAAAATACAAGAAAACTTAAAGATTCAGACCGCCAGCGCCCAATCGTAGCATCAAAACGACGTGGCTGCAAAACGCGTCTAAGTATTGTCGCGGTCGACACATCGGATCCAACAGGGCCTTGGCGTATTCAACACACAAAGGATGGCAGCCAGACGCATACCCACCCTGATGCATCGGACGTCCGCGTCTGTGTCGCCCACAGACAGCGGGATGCTCGACGAAAAACCACTGAGGAAATTTATACGTTAAACCTAGTCTCTTTGCAGGCTAAAGCTGGGGTTTCTACATCTCAAATCTTCGCCACGATGATAATGGTCGATGAAGACTCTCTAGTTCTTCCGTCGGACATTGCCAATACAAAGAAGGCCTCACGTTCTGAATTGTTGGCAAGGCAGACGAATACGGAGGCTTTGTTTTCCTTACTGGAAAAGTACAAGTCTTACTACTCTTACGAAGTCGAGGATTTTTCCACTAGGCTGCGATATCTACTGTGGGTTCACCCGACGACTACAAAATTGGCCAAACAATTTATCGATATTATCGTTCTGGATTGCACGTATAAACCAAATAAGTACGGGATGCCCCTCTTGAATGTGATCATTCTTACTGGAATAAACACTATTCTACCTGTTGCACAAATATGGCTACCGGGTGAAAGCGAGCCTGATTTTTTGTGGGCTCTTTTGCAAGAAAAAGATATTTTGATGCCCAGGATAATCGTTACAGACAGGGACTTGGCTTGTACAAACGCTACGGAGAAAGTCTTTCCATTCGCGAAGAAGTTGTTGTGTCGTTGGCACATCCGCCGAAACGTTTTAGCTCAAGCTCAGTGAAAACTTGTCGTTGCACAAGTCCCCGGAGCCTCCGTCGTAGTGATGAAAAGCATGAAGGAACTGAAAGTTGACACGTTCGTGGATAAATTTGACGAAACCATTAATGCTGCAACGGAGTGTGAGTTCAATGAGGGGTGTTCAGCATTGAAAAACATTAGCAGTGACTTGGACGTCTATCTTAACCGACATTGGTGGCCGTACAAAACCAAATTTGCTCGTTGCTGGATAGATGCGTTTTGTCATTTTAATTGTGTAGATACGTCTACTGTCGAAGGGACTCATGCCAAGATGAAGGCATTTTTAGATAACTCACGGGGCGATTTAGTCACCGTCTTTCAGCGTCTTCTTCCGTGGTGGTCTAGAGTGGCTACAAACAACAGTGTGCAAGCTGCAAAAGAAGTGTCTACCGTCCCGCAACTATTTCGTGATGATTTATATTCAGCCGTCGTAAAAAACATTTCTGTTTACGCTCTGACGGAAACACACAAGTTGTGGAAAATGACACAAAAACTAGTGGTTAAAGGCACTAAACCTAATGTCTGTAGTGGTACGGAACTCAAGGTCGGCCCTGGCTTCTTGACATGATGCACATTATCGAGTCTGGTGGCGTATAAAAGCTTTTACCGGAACAATTCGACAAACACTGGCACCTGTGTGTGGTTACGGGCCGCGTGGTAGAGCCTGTACCAAGGGCTAAACAGCCACGAACACGCGAGCAATCACGGTCTCATCAAGCTGGGTAAGGCGCTAATGGTACACGGCGAGAGCTATCCGGGTTTGAACTGCAAGGGCAACCGGATTTGGTGACTAACGAGAACGCTACTTCATTGACATTTCAAGGGCTTCTCGAGCAAAGCGTTGAAGACTTCCAAAATGCATTCTTACCACCTCGTGCATGGGGGTACGCTGGGCAACAAGATTTCGATGATTAGATCCCCAGTGTAGTTTCATTTTTTATTTTTCATTTTTCAGTTTTTAAACAATAAATATCAATAACTTCAACTTACTAACGCCATGTGCATACACTTTTTCTGCCCGGGTGCTCCGGTCAGGGTGCTCCCTAACTTTTCCCCACGTTGCTCTTGTCTAAAGCAACCGAAATAATCCGGTCCACCCGCGCCGACGTATCTTAGTAGATGGTAGTGCTCCAGTCGTTCGACGAAATAATTTGGTTATTGCTGTCCGTCTTAGCGTCATTTTCTTTCGACTATCGTACGTGATACGTTCGTATTAATAGCCAGAGTGCAAGGAACCCCAGGCGAATAGTCCACCTGCAAGGCAATCTTACCGGACGTTCCCACCACCTTCATGTGGTCGCGTATACTCAGCAGCCTTCAGACTCGGAGATGCCACAGCCGAAATACGCAGCCGACTTCGTACCGCCCAAGGAAATTCCCCCGGTCTTGAGCGCACCAAACATGTCAGCACCGGACCTTCTGCGCTAGCCGACGTCTGCTTCGTCGCCACAACTCCTTCATTGGGGTTACCGCAATAGAAGGTGCCGACCTTGACGTCTCTCATTCCGAGCATCACGAAGCCCTAGCCGACTATCTTGGTATCTCTTATCCATAATTTATTCTCTGTAAGAAGCAAAGTTAAACAAGTCAGTCGCCTGTCCCTCTTTTTCATGCCCTTCGAAGCCTTGTCAAACATCGTATTTACCCGACTGCGGTCAAAATCTGAAAAATAGGCGCGCTTTTCCCCGACATTCACGTGATTTTTCTACTTTAAGGTTCTGTTTGAACACACGCTTAAGACAAGACATTTGTTTGATTCGGTTGCTACTTGAAGGGTCTTTTATCCGCGATAAAAGGCGATTAAACGAATTGTTTGGTGATACCAGTTTTTGGTCTCACCAAACAATTCTCGTTAATCCAGATTTTTAATGACCCTTTTGATTAAACTGTTTTTTGATAGTTTTTGGATGGCAATCACTGGGTGCCTACTTAGAATGTTCTACTAAGTAGGGTTAGGGCGCATTAAAAGGTGTATTAAACTTGCCGATTAAACTTGAATTGTTTGATAAGACCAAAAAGTGGTCGGATCAAACAATTCATTAAACCGAGTTTGGTAATTTTTAATTGCACTCCGATTTAGCAACCCAATCTAAAATGAATCTAGAATTTAGTATGTGTACAAAGCGAAACTCCAAACGGGGAAGTCCTTACCCATTGAAGTTTGAATATCTTCAAGGGACTACAGTAGATGGTGATAGCCATTTTCTCCATCCATTATTCGCTCCAAGTCGGCTGGAGCCATGGTGTAGTGCTTACTTTTAAATCCGCCTGGGGAGGGCAAGCTCTACTGTCCTGTCAACGTTTCATAACGACGCGCCACGGAGAGCTTTGCCGGCCTGAGCATTGGCTCCCTACTCCTTAACTGTTGTGTGTACCATGTACGAAGAAGGGTGTTCTCATAGTATCGTTGCTTTTCAATACATGTCTCCAATTGGTCTCTAGGCTCTCGGCAGCGTTTCCCGCACTCGCATGCTGAGTACCTTGCCTTCGTTAATTGAAACAACAACTTGCGCGGATCGAGTAATGTATTGTTTTACGGATTATCTACTCTGCATGCAAGAATTAAATTTATTATCTTTGCTTTGCTCAATTGAAACTATCCACTCCGCGAACATGAAGATTATAAGGTCGACCTGTGATCGACCTGACAGCCCGCTGCAGCAGGGCGAAGCTCAACTTACCCGCAATCTCGCCACCTCTTCAGCTTCGTTCGGGTCCGGTCATTCGTCATTCACATATCGTAGAGGCTGCAACGATGGAGGCGGAATCTCTATCCTTCTACGAGAAGTCGTCCGATCTCTCGTCGCAGGACTCAAACGCTGTTGTTTCTTCGTCGCAACCTGAAGCGCTGACCTCGGTCTCCCCGGATGCATCTCAAGATTCAATCATTGCCATTTGGTCGCCGCCCAGTACCAACCTCCCCGATTCATGTACTACGAGAAGTCTGGCACCCAGTTCACCAAACACGAGGCCGTCTGCTCCGAATACTACAAGTCTTCTGTCGAACAGTGGAATCCACGTAAGTGAAAATTTTCTAAGCAAAGCGTGGGCAAATGAGATGGAGCCGGTTGTGCTTGTGAAACCCGATGCAATCCGGCAACGTGCATCAATTCCAAGGAGCTTCGATTCTGTTGCGAACAGAACTGTGTCTTGTGAGGTAAATGCGGGAATGGTCTTAGAGAACATCCATCGCTGGTTATCGCTCGGAGATCGCGGTCGGGAATGCGAGGTCTAGTGGCGACCAGTACCATACCGGCCGGAGAGATACTGGGCCAGTATCTAGGCCACCTACTATTTCTTGGACCTCCTTGTATAAACGGATCCGCCAATAAGGGCTTCCGCATGCATATCAAGACTAGGGCTAAAGGCAATCAGTATTTGGGCATCGACGCCCTTCGAATGGGCTGTAAGATTTGGATGATGAACTATGCCTGCAAACCTGCGGCGAGATTTCACGAGCTCCAAACTAACAGTGTAGTTACAGTGGTAGTTGTATCACTACGCCACATCAACCGCGGTGAAGAGGTCACGGTATCGTACGGCAACCGACTATGGTTCATCTGCCGGAGTGGGTGGTCGGGCTGTCAGCACCGCGACATCCAGCACTTGTTGGACTTCTGTCCGGAACGTGCGTGCTGATGTGGCATGCATCGAGTCTACAGTTACAATGGTGCTAAGGCTTTACCAATCGCATAGATAACCGCTAAAAAAAATTGATTGAACCAAGGCTTTTTTATAACTGATTTTTTACTTTTTCGCCAATTGTAGCTGCCCATAATAAAGGAATTTGCCGAGTCGTGACTAGTGCTGTCGACGTCGAATGTTATCCGGATGCTACAAGAGATAACGCTAAATCTCGTTAAAGCGTAGTTGACGTCATATTTAGCGGAGGGATAACGCTGTAATAAAACACATACTCACAGGTCACTTTACGCAATACAAGAAAGTAGATTGTGGAGGGGATCACACTATGCCATTTTACTTGTGGCAGCGAGCGTGCATCAGTGGACACGGCCATGCTTGCGTAAGTGACGTGTAGCGGCTACTAACCAAGCACTCCAGCTGGTAGCCTCAACAGAAGATCTCTTAGACGTGCAGTACTCGCAGCCGGCATGCGATAGACGTACTCGCCTGTCGACCAAGCCTCCCGAGACATGCTCCGGGATCGAGTTCCGACCGCGTACACGCCCAGGCTCACCGCATCTTCGGTCTACCAGGGGTATGCTTATCGCTCAATAAGGGCACTAGTTTTGCGATCTAACAAACGATTGACCTCTTTTGTTTTAGAAACGGTGCTCGCTCGGCCACAGCCGTCGTACAGGAAGACACGTGCTTCATCTACAGTAGTTTACGGCCCGAAACAATGCGAAATGGTAATCGTGCCGAAACTTACCGACCATTGACACTACATGATGAGAGCACCAAGGTACCAAAATGCTGCCCATGCTTGCTCAAGGCTACTACATGCGGCAATTCTGCTTTCATTTTGGCCGTGCCCGAGAGCTGTGTGCATGTTTATAACATTCAGAATGAGCATTTACGGAGACGGCCTCGCTTCGTAGAATCAGACGACAAAGTAAGCGCGCTCGCAGGATATCCCAATGAACCACTACCCAGCAAGAGGGCATTCCAACCCAAAACGAGACGGCAACTTTTAGGACCGCTCTTCAGCGCGCTCGACATATATATTTGCTGCACCAAGAAAATATTAAATAAACAGAGATAGCAGAGCTGCTTGCGAAAGCTAACTCCACATCGACTTTGCACCACGACATCTTCCTGATACGAGATGTTGTTGTGAGCTGGAACGTGCTCACAGGGCTGGTCATTGACGGGTATGTGCGCTCTTCAAGGCCACCCTTTAATGTGGCAAACCATTTTTCTGAACGTGGGGCTCGTGTCAGTACCACATATTAGATGTATCGATGATGGGGTACCAATTTGCGTGTCAATGATTGGTTCTGCACAGCATTATTGCTGGTTTTGTCCAATAAGAGCACGATTTGTCGTGATGCTATCCAGCTGTTAAAGGGGTGTAAATTAATAACGATAACATCCACTTGGCTTCGACGAAGGATAATGTCGACAGATGTCTAATTTTGATAACGTCGACAGCACTAGTCGTGACACAAGTGAAATCACAAAAAAAACACTTGGGCGTGTCATGGCTGGAGTAAGGTTCAGTTTTTCTAGTAAGCGTTGGTGGTGGATATCTTTGCTCATTATTATTGCCCACATTTTGGACGAGAGGGAGACGCGTTGGATACAACAACTACACCCGTTAGGACCAACTTCCCTTGTGTCAAGTCGTGAAGAACATCGTTTTACTGGGAAGGAACATGTCGGAGCAAGTCGCTATTCAGTACAACGCCAGTCGAACAAAGGGGGTTCACCCGAGCGTGACTTCGAGTCACTTAGACGCAAAGGCGGTGTGCTCACATCTTACGACGGCTTGGATGGGGGGGGCAAGAGTTCGAGAAGGACGTTGAGGAAGCTGATCCTGGTATAGACGCGACCAGAAGGGGGCAACAAGGCACTGCACATACTATCCACGCCACTGCAGAAACATCTGCAGGCCTGGTAGCTGGATATACCGAGGAATACGGAGGCGGCTCGAATACTGAGGGAGACGGAAGTGATATCACTTAATACGCTCAGCAGCTGGCTTCTCCTACGTAGGACGCCCAGGTCTGCAGCCAACACGTGGGTACAGAAACCACACGCCAAGGACTGATCGATGCACGTTTGGTAGCAGAGTGCGTTTTTTTCAACGACGAGGCCTCTGAGGTTGGAGATGCAGTCGACGAGGCTGCAACAGACTCGATTGACAACAACGCATCCAGTAGCCGCCAGCCTGGGGATCCCGGCTCACGCGATTCCACCAGATCAAGATCTTCTAATCAACAAGGAACACCACGAGGAGCTGTACGACCCAGAGCTGCTCGTGGCGGTACCCTCCCCACTTCGGCCACCCCGGATGGCCCCAACCTGACGCGGGATCCAAGTCGAGGGCCCTCCGACGCACGCTCAATCGATGCGAATCGAAGACTAAGTATCTCCAGCAACAGGCTAGGAGGCCAGGATCTCCGGGTGTTGCATGACAACGTCTCAGACATGACGCAACGTCTAATCAACGACAACGGCAATCGATTGAGTTCTGAGGCTACACGCACAGACGGTGCGCACGACTCGACGCCTTACATGAATAAAAGCGACTAAAAGCAAAGCAGAGACTGAATGAAATTGAGAGGGACTTCGAGCGTTTCGAGAAGAAACAGTCATCCAAGGGGGGTTCAGTTGATGCAAATGATCGTCTTACTTCAGAAGAAAATCGATCGCAGAGCAGAAGACGAGGATCGCCGTCGGAGATCTGAAAGAGAAGCCAGACTCGAGAATGAAAAGAGAGAGAGAGAACGGAAAGAGAGGAGGTTCGTAAGCAGGAGGCAGAAGCTGCCTAGCGCCGCAGACTCGCCTCTGAGGAAACTACCCGATCGCTGCGCGAGGAACAACGACGCGAAGAAAAACTACGACAAGCACGAATCGACCAAGAATGGGAAGAGAACAAACGACGGTTCGAGAAACGTCTAGCACTTGACCGCGAAGAAGCGAGGCAGTGTCACGAGCGAATGATGCTAGCGGTAACCAACCTTCAGAGAAAGTAAAAAGGGTGTAATAACTACAGCTCGAAATCAAAATTACGTTTTCAGTGTTATCGGTTGTCTTCTCTACCATATACAAACGTGGTGCGTATTTGGCTAACTGGAACGGTCCGGACTCGGTAGCTAGCTAGACGGAAGATATTGTCGAGGCGGACTTGGCATTTTTTCCTTGTCGTTAGCAAGGGTTGTAGTAGGTGTCTGTATATTTTTCTAAAGACCCCATCCCCATTCAGCGCTTTAACAAACAAATGTAATGACCGAAGACTTAAGCGTAGCTGCCCTTCTAACCGATGGTACCAGTCTTCCTAGGTCGCCCTCCTTAAGAGGTGTCATTATCCGACCAACCATCTCAGCGCCGCAAGAAAAAGCTCTGTCTACAATGCCGAAACCAGGGAGTTCCGGTCACATACACTGCGTGTAGCCATCCATTGTAGTAAGCTTTTTGGGCATCGCGTTGAGGAGGCTCCTGCACCTACATAACCGCGAATGTGTTATTTAGAATTAATACAGATACTCCGAACAAACTTCTAACTTAATTTAGATTTAATACATACCCGATAGTTCTTCCCATATAGGAACCCCCACGTGAAAGGTAGCGGCGGAGATCGTGCAGATGTTATGCGTCCCAAACAGCGCTGACGAGTGAGAGTAGGCCACACTATACTACTTGGAGAGAACCCAACAAGGCAGCGTCGTAGGGCTTCCTCTGCACTTGACAGCACACGGCTAAAGGCTTAATGCGGAACACCAAACGAAGAACACATCAATTTATGCTGCATTGAGTCCACGTAGAACGCTAGAAGAAGTCCAAGAACTTGATGATGGTTTTGTAGCTTCCGCGGGCGGACTCCTCTCGGTCTGAAGCGTTGAATGTCGTAGAAAGGTACGAATCGTTCAAGCAGTGTGGGGAACGAAGACCTAATACAATTACAAAGTAAATCAAGAGCTGATTTGGTAAAGCACCATGACTCGCTAATTATTAACATGGTGTTGGTTTGCTTTACATTATGCTCTTATTTATTGTTTGTGCGCAGTACATGACATAATGTATGTGATGACACTAGCTGCCCAATGCCATTATTTATGGTTAAAGAGGGTATCATTAAATAACAATGCCATAATCGGGAGCCCTGAGCAAGAACCTGCTATCACACTGGAGGCAGGGGACCAAGGCTTTGACATTGAGTGTCTTAAGCGAAAGGACAAAAGAGTGTACGATATCTGGAAGAAGGACGCAAAGTTACTAGAAGTGGGCCGAAATGTGCACTTTTGATGCTCAGAACTCATTTCTTTCGGAGCACGACAAAGAACAGAAAGCGGTGAGGGAGCGGACATCTTCGAGCCGGCCTTCACCACGTGCGAGCATCACTGCTGACGATGCAGCAGATTGGCAAAGATGGCACGAGCGGCTGGGCCAGTTGTGCCCCCAGTAAGGATGATACTCGATCGCGGCTTCGTTAGCGGTATGATGCTGTGGCAGCGCAGATTTGCTGGCTGCGAAGCATGCCATTTGGGGGGCAGATTAAACCTACGCTAGAACTTGAGATCAAGCAAAAGAACCAGGTTTTTTATTCCTCACCAGAACTCCAGTGCGAAAGACACCAAGGATATGCTAGCTATAAAACATAGCTACTCTCGCTATATAACGGTCTATGCGCTAAAGTCAAAGACGACCTCGCGGTAAATGCAGCCTTGTGACGTTACATCGCTTGAGCCTAGCGCCAGTTCAGCAAGTGCGAAATGCTGAAGGTCAGTGGCAAAGCGTTGGTTAGCGAGGCGATAAACCATTGATGTCAGCAACAATAGATCGCGTTGATGCCATACCCTCCCAATGGTACGCACCTGAACCTGACAGAATGATAAAATCAGACGTTGAAGCACATGTTGAAGACCATGCTCAACATGACAGGCTTGATGAAGCCTCACGTTTGGATGCATGCTCTGGAGGTGGCTACATTCCTTCGCAATCGATCGTGTCAA